TAATACAAAATATTTTTCCAAGATTAAAAAAAACGTGGGTTTGTTAAACAGCCAGGCAAAAATTTGGAAAAAGTAAACTACCAACAAAGCCTGCTTTGTGTCACTTATTATATGTTGGAAAATTGGGTTTACTTTTTTTTGTCAATCCAACCATATTATAAGTATTTTCTTTAGGTACCTGTTTATCAGAATTTCTTATGTCTTCTACAGAAATGTTCAATTTCCTTACTCCTTCTTGAACCCCTTCCCCTTAAAGGAGAGTCATGACAGCAGCATAGTGTAGTTGAAGGCACCTGAGCCTTGGAGTAATGTCTGCCTTAAGGTTTTAGACAAGATACCTAAAATTTTAGAGTCTCATATCTTTCCCCCTTAAAAAAGAGATATTATAATCTACTTCATTGGAAAAAAATTAGCAAGGAGGTATGCAACATGCATACCAGACCGGTCTCTATAGCTGTCTTAATCTTTCCCTTCTTCCAAATTTATTCTATGCTCAGCTCCTTTCCTTTCTCATCTCTTATTTCCATTTCAATCCTGTTTCACTCCAAAGCAACTTTACTCATTTATTTCCTTACCATCAGTAACTTTCTACTAGTCAAATTCACTCACTGCATTTTAGACTTATCAGTGTACATTTGGTATCAGATATTCAGTACGTGTGTGTGTGTGTGTGTGTGAGAGAGAGAGAGAGAGAGAGAGAGAGAGAGAGAGAGAGAGAGATTGAAAGCATCCTCTTTTTCTTTTAGAGCACTGTTATCCCCTGTTTTCCTTCCTTATTTTCTGGTCATTCCAATTAGTTCCTTTTTACTCTGCAATTTTAGGATTTTTAAAGATTCTGTCCTCTGATATCAGATTCACCCACCTAATTTATCTTTGAAATAAATTCTAGATTTATAACTTCTATTATCTAGTGACTAATGATCATATTTATCAACATATTTCTAATATTCATCTGTGTTCCAGATACTTATTTCTATTGGTATACTAAAGATCAAATTGATAGTATAAGGAATATCAAAATACACATTACTCAAACTACACTCAGTTTTCCTATTTGCCCTTTATCTTCCTTTTTTTCTTTTATTAATAGCAACCTTATCCATTTTAATAATCCAAGAAAAATCCTAAATGTTATCTTAAACTATTCTTTTTTATATGCTTGTTGTATACGTTCACCACATCCATTGATTCTCTCTCCTAAACATCTTTTGATCCTTTTATTTCTTTTTTGCTACTGTCTTCTTTTAAAATAAACTAATCATTTCTCACCTGAACTATTTTAGTAGCTTCCTAACTTTTCTCCCTACCTCTTGTAATTTCTATCTTTTAATTCTCTGCAAAGATGCCATATCTTTCTAAAATACAAATATTATCATATTAATAATAGTATCTTTAGTTAGGCAAGATAAATTAGTTCTGGAGATCTACTATAGCATGTGCCTATAGCTAACAACAATATACTGTCTTCTGAAAATCTACAAGGAGCGTATATCTTATGTTAAGTATCTTTACCAATCCTCCCTCCACACAACTCAACAGTAATAAAGGAGGTGAGAGAATATTTTGGGAGGTAATAACTACGTCTATAGCTTTGATGGTGGTGATAGTTTCACAGATGTATCCTACACCTCAAACTCAAGGAGTTGTACACATTAAATATATATAGATTTTTACATGTCAATCAACCTCAACAAAGTGGTTTTGAAGAAGAAGAGCTAACAATTTATAGCATGTATGAAATGCTAGGCATTGTTCTGAGAGCTTTAGACATGCTATGGTCCAAAACACCACAGTGACTTTCTATAACCTGTTAAAATAATAGTTCATTTTATTATGATGACCTATAAGTCCCTTTTCATATAGGCCTCAACTTATTTTCTATCTGTATCTCCACAGACAGTGAAACAAGCTCCCTTTCAATGAACATACCATTTCTCTCTCTCTCTCTCTCTCTCTCTGTGTGTGTGTGTGTGTGTGTGTGTGTGTGTGTGTGAGAGAGAGAGAGAGAGAGAGAGAGAGAGAGAGAGAGAGAATGAGAGAGAGATGTTGAAATTATCCTTTCAGAGCACTGTCAATTTTCTGGTCATTCCAATTAGTTCCTTTTAGTTCTGCAATTTTAGGATTTTTAAACAGTTCCCTTTCAATGAACATACCTTAATGTCACTACACAATCTATTCTTTTGAGCTAGGATTCTTGCCCATCTCATCTATCTGGGAAACTCCTACTCATCTTTCAAGTCTCAGCACAAAAATGTTAACTGAGCCACTTACTCAACTCTACGAAGGATCCATGCTGCTGTTTTCTATGATAACTTGTCTATGCCTCTTTTACAATACCTTTACCTTGTGATGTCATTATCCTTCCTGGTTATACTGTGCTATCTACTATACCAAGTAATTGAATGCAGTGACTACATTTTATTCATACTTGCCTCTCTAGGGCCTGGTACAGTATCTAACAAAGTAAGTTCTCAATAACACTCCCAAATGAATGAGTGGACCAAACACACAAAGATAATATACTTTGTTACAAAATGTGCTTGCCCTAATTCATATACCCATATATCCAAAAAGCAGTAAGCAAATTCCTTTGCATGGTTTTAATAAAGAAAATGAAAGCTTTGTTATTAAATAAACTCATGAAATGAATAACATACCTCTCCTTTTCATTTTGTTGTTTGTTTTATTTTGAGACAGTCTTGCTCTATCACTCAGGCTGGAATGCAATGGCATGATCATGGCTTACTGTAGCCTCAGTCTTTCAGGTTCCAGCAATCCACCTGCCTCAGCCTCCAAAATACCTGCAACTCTAGGTGTGACACCAAGCTTGCCTTTTTTTTTTTTTTTTTTTTTTTGAGAGAGAGAGACAGGGTCTTGCTATGTTGCCCAGACTGGTCTCCAACTCCTGTACTCAAGCAATCCTCCCTTCCTGGTCTTCAACGTGCTAGGACTACAGATATGAAGCATTGCACCAGCCTCTCTCTCTCATTTAAAGTATTAATATATTTTGTCATCTCAAAACAAAACCAAAACAAACATTTAAAGTCTAGAAATATGGAATTTCATGTTCTAAATTTAAAAATTCCTTTTCCCGGTTTTCTTCAAGAAAATCGAATACTCTAATAAAAGTGAATGAGGTCTCTTTCTCTCCCTCCTTTTCTCCCTCTGTTTCTAACTTAAATTGTAAGATCATCTCTCTTCATTTAAAAACAATGGAAAAATATAGAAAGCCTAGAAATATGGTAGTCAGACTGTAAATTAAAATCTCTAAGAAAATTCTCCTGATATAAATATAGTAGGGACAAATGTTGAAGAGCAGTATGATTTTCAAGAAAGAAGACTGAGTGTGTTTTCAGAATACTGTTTATATCCTATCTTAACAGTGTAACACTATGTTACCTCTCTGAACCTATTTCTTCAACTATAAGACAAAAACAATGCTCCCTGCCCCACATACTACAAAGAATTAGTTTGAGGATCAAGAGAGGTAATGTTTTTGAAAGCATGCTATAAAAGATAATGTGCTGTACTGCAAAGAGTGTATTCACTCACCAAACACAGTTCTTGCAGGCACAGATTCTCTGTTAAGCCAGAATGAAACTTGGGAGAGAATGACAGTCATGATGCAAGGCAGATATGTCTGAATCACAAAATACCCAATTTTTCTTTTCAAGTGGAAATGAGCTGTCATTACAGTGTATTCACCTGGAAGAAAAATTTAAGAAGCTCAATGAGTAATAACCAATAGATGGAACATTTTGGAAATAGAAAGGATCAGAGGTGGAACAAAAACTAATTTTTTAAAAAAGAATCTATCACATATATGTCATGAAATTTATATCACCTTTAAAAGCCTCCTTAGCTTAGCATGAGTGTTTCAAAGAGAACTTTAATAATGTCAAGAAACTTGCAGTGCACATCCCATGATGTTTACAGGTTAAATGCCTGTTTTTTAAAATATGTGGAACTAGAAGTGTTTTTAAGTGTGGATTTTTCAGATTTTGCAAAATGTACATTATTACAAATTGAGCATCCCTATTCCAAATATATAAAATCTAATATGCTCTAATGAACATTTCCTTTGAGCATCATGTCAGCACTCAAAAAGTTTTTTTTATTTTTTTTATTTTGAAGCATTTTGAATTTTAGATTTTCAAATTAGAGATGTTCAATTTGCATTTGTTTTCCTCTCTTAGTCATGCTTATTGACCAAAATAATTCAGGATTCATAAATGCTTTCTGCCAATGGTTTACTTTACTTGGTTAGGCCCTTCATTTTCATTAGTATAAACCTCAAATCTCTGTTTTGATTGTTCTAACTCAGTGCTCTCTGGCTCCAAAAATGTTGATCTCTGGCCAGATTTCCAAGACTGATCTTCTGGCCCACATTTTCTCACTTTTAACCCTATCACCAATTCTGAATTTCTCATTGTTTTATGTCTGTTCTAATTTGCTTCAGTTACTCCTATCTAATCTCCATATCTACCTTTCTTTCTGCTCCCTGGGTTTTAATTATTGCCAGATGTAAGATCATTGGTCCACACTGCTGGGCTTTTTTAGGTGAAGGTGGCCCTCACAGAGGGAATCAGCTTTCCACATGGGCCTGTAGTAACTATCAATATCAAAAGTTGAATAATCATAAATTATCTAGAATAGGAGTGAAAAAATAGAAAACTAAGGAAATGATCACTCGTCAGCCGGACAAGGTAGCTCACACCTGTGTGTGAGCTAAAAATTAGCTGTGTGTGGTGGCACACATCTGTTGTCCCAGCTACTCTGGAGGCTGAGGCAGGAGAATCACTTGAACCCAGGAGGCAGAAATTGCAGTGAGCCAAGATCACACCACTGCACTCCAGACTTGTAACAGAGCAAGACTCCATCTCAAAAAAAAAAAAAAAAGTAAAAAAGAAATTATCACTTGTCAGAAGGTAAAAATTAAAATTTACTACTCTGAGAAAACATGTATATTGTGAATACATGGTGCATTTTAGGCCAGTGTTCCTCAAACTTCAATGCAACTATTAATCTTGGAATCTTGTTAAAATGTAGATTCTGATTTAATAAGGAGTGGGGCCTAAGATTCCAAATGTCTAAAAAACTTCCAAGCACAGTCTATGCAACTAGTTATTGGGCCTCAAGAGCAAATGATTTTAAGCCATCTGACATACCTCCAAGTCCTTTAACCTTTTAATACTCTTAAGCACCACGTTTTCTTAGGACTAATTTTACTAACCTGTACTGGATTTAATTGTCTCCTTTCCAATTGATTGGCCCAGAAGGTCATACTGATTTAACCTAGAGCCATCAGGAGCAACCTGTACTGAATCAGATGCATTGTAAGTCCAAATATAAGTGACCTCTGAAGTTGTATATGCATCTATAAGAAATCAGAAAAAATATTTTAAGCATTTAAACAAGAGCCATCAATCTAATGCTATATGTACAGTTGTGTATTTCATACAATCACTATATACTTTTAATATTAATACTTAAACATCAAATTTTAGGGAAAAGTGTCTCATTTAAATTTACTTCAATATGAGAGACATGAAGCAGACCAAAAAAGATGATCATGGCCATGACAGTATATTCATTGCAGCCACTTTGAAAGGTGAAAAGCAAATTTCTTCTTAGTCTATTACAATCACTGGGCCCTGAGATAATTATAACATCTCCCTTAGGCCTAAGGTAGCATATGAAGACAATGTTGTAAACAGGTTATAAATGCCCACAGTCCAGTAAAACCACTTATTTATAAATATCAATCACTCATAAGATAAAAAGCATAAGTCAAAATTATATTAATTTTTGGACATAAATGTACACTAGTTAAGAGTTAAATGGCTTAGTTATCATGATACAATGCATTTCATGAGAAGAATAAAATATAATTATTATAGAACATATAAGATAAATAATAATGTTATAGTTGCATCAAGTTGCAAATCCTTTTAAAATCATGCTTATTTTTAAAGGAATTAATGCACACATATAACACTAGCCTACATATTTATAGCATCCCAGTTAAATTACAGATTGGCACAAAGAGGAAAAATGCAATCAGATCAGATATAACTTTCTGATTTATTGGCCAAGGATGCAGAACTTAGCAGAAGTGAGATGACTTCAGAGCTGGCAGCAGGCAACATATCTGATCTCGCCCCTTTCTCTGGCACTGCATTTTCTTACCCCTTTATGTCCCATTGGGGAACAGGTGACCTCTCCAGGTAGGCAGAGTCCCTCCACAGTGGAATAACAGGCAATTCTTGCTATATCAGTGACACTTTGAAGAACATCTATGCACTTATACTTGTGAGAATGTTTAGAGATACAGTTACCCCTAACAAAACTCAGCATCACAATCACATCACCAATTAAAGGAGGGAAAGGACAATATGTTGCTGGCAATAGTTCTGACTCCAGCTCTCCAGGACACTGGAAATATCATTCTCTGTCATCTATAACTTTCCTAGCTTTAATGGCATGGTACTGTGGTGACCCTGGTTCTGAACTTGATCTAAAGTCTGTGATCACAGATCAATTTCCACTCAAGTATCAGTAACAACAGAGTGAATGATTATGAGTTTGTGTCTTTTAATGACATACTGCAATGTTGTCAAGTTTTCTGAATGTTTCTACTAAATGTTAATATCAGTGAAACACCACTATCACTACATATGTAGTTACCTACATTAACGATCAAATTATATTATGCGAAACAATTTTTAAAATAGGATTCTAAAAATGCATATGTATATATTTATGTATGTATATACTTTTAGTAGCAGAGAAACATTCATATGATTGCATATAAATGAATTTTAGTTATTCTATGGTTTAATTTTCTTGTTAAGTAATTTCAATTCATCAATCACTAATGATTGATTACCCTGAGAAGACTAAACAACAACACTACTAATGTAGATAACTAGCAACTGATCTGTAGATCAAATAGCTTGCTTTGTTTTTCCCTTGAATACATATTCTGGCTCTCTCCTCAATAAAATTTTAAATGGCATGGAACGTAGGAAAAAGATACATCAAATGGTCTACTTTACATTGGAAGGGGCTCAAAATACTCTGTAGTTGTCAACAAATTATGAAGTTTTTTTTTTAAGTAGCATAAATCACTTTTGAATTATAATGTTTCTTTTAAACATAAATAAGTAAAAATGAAACCCTGTAACAGAGATGTCATTTTTAAGGCACTAATGAGATACTGATAGACAGGAACTCTGCCTGATTCGTGTCAATTCTTCCAGGACCTGGTACAGTGCCTGATACACAGAATAAAAAGTCTCAGTCCATCCTCACTAGATTAATAAATTAACTCATAGTATTTTAATTATGTTCTTTACTGTTATGGAAGAAGGAAATCTGGAGAAGAACTCAAGAATTTATTAAAGAAAGTGACTGATTCTTCACATGACTTTTGAAAAAGCAATTACTGTACTTCATTAGTTAGACAGAAATATAGTTTTGAAATTTGTGTCTGGTGAAAATAATGCAGCAGAAAGTTATGTAATGCAGATTAGAGCCTCTCCTGAAGACATTAACACACATATAAGCCAAGAGGTCATAATAATGTTTCTCAATAAAGTATCAAGGGAGAGAAAGACAGTTTTACAAAATTCATCATAAATTCCACTTCTAAATTAGGCTGCCATTAAATAATCTTGTTTATGTTAATTAACCCATTTTTTATTCCTATGTTGCATTAAACAGATTATACCAACTGATTCTTAATATTTAGTAACCAGGAAAAATACATCAAAATTATTTTTAGCTATTAATTTTTAGTCTGAAGATGATTTACAGCTTCTCTGGGATTAATGATTGGAGTATCCCTAGACTTTCATTCAGAAATTTAAAAATCAAGTTAAACAACAAGGAACAATTGAAAGGTATGAGACAATAGGAATAAAACAAAACAAGACTGAATTTAAAATTGTAAGCACACAGAAAAAAATTCTTCCTTTAATTGAGGGCAATGACAAAGTTCCTGAAATCCAATCTTTTTGGGGAGTAGGGGTAGGGAATAAGAGGGCTTTCAAATAAGCAAGGAATAAATGAATAGAAGAAAAAGTCACAGCTGCTTCTGCCTTGCATAACAAACCAAATTTATTATGCAAACATTGTTAGGTTTGGCTTGGCTTGTATATTACTCTACACTGATGCCCATACTGTTAATACTTATGCATCCAGAATCTACTATAGTCAAAGACAATAAAATAACATAATTTTTTTTTTCAGTGTGTCAGAAAATAAATGTGAAGAAAACAAAATTAGTGATAATTACTTAAACCTAAAAAGCCTGGCAACACACTTCACCTGTTGCTCATAGCTCCTTCTGAGTACAGAAACTATATTCTCAAGCATGTGATATTCTACCACTCTGTAGATGCAGTACAAGAGATTTTTAAATTTCATTTAAAATATTTTCAAGTGTGCTTATTTCATTTTCAGAATGGAGATATCCATCACATCATTTATATTTGATACCTTCGTGCCAAAAAAAATCCTTCTTACAACATGATTACATCTTGAATTAATCTTTTCTTTGGTATCAAGGCTTTCAATTTTTCCTATAATGCCACTTATGTAATGGAAATAAGTCTTTCTCTGCTGCATCTGCTGTGGTTTTCTCAGCATCATGTTTACATTATATAACATGACTGAATATCTTAAATAATGTTGGAAGAAATGCTGGTACTAAACTTATGGTTTCCATGACAATAAAAGAAGGATTTGCAGTTAAATAAAGGGGAGATTCTCAAAGAAAATTGAGAAGCGACACAGTTTGTAACAACAAACAAGACTGCTCTTCTCATACCACAAAAGTATGATCATCAAAATAGAGAGTTTTGCATTCATATGAGCTGTCATTCCTTCCTTTTCTTTGGCTTGATACAGTTTGTAAGGAGAAGGCACACTATTCAGTGATACATAGTTTTAATCAGGAGAGAGCCCTGCATTTCTATTTGACAGAGAATAAAAATTCAAAAGCTGTTCAGAAGTGACAACAATGATGGTGCCAGAAAGAGCACAGTCTCTAAAAAGGTCAGGCAAGAGGACACCCTCACAAGAGAGAGACTGCTTAGCTGTGTTCATGAATTCATGCTGAATCTACCCAGAATGTCATGTGGGCCTAGGAAGATGACTTAACCTTCCCCTTTTTCAATTATTCTGGAAGTATGAATGCTTCTGCTTGATATACATGATATAACCCCTATGATCTAAAGAACAGAACAGCCAACTGCACAGACCCTTTTCTTTTTTTTTTTTTTTTTTTTTTTTGAGACGGAGTTTCGCTCTTGTTACCCAGGTGTACAGACCCTTTTCTAAAATGTTTTGTGTACATAGAAGGTGCCAAAATGTAGCAATACGGCTACATTATCTCCCTTAATTTAAGAAATAAAAAAGAAATTCTTCCATTCGTTACAATAGAAGACAGTGGCACAGACTAAGTTTCTGTGCATGTCATTTGCAAAAGGCTGATTGCCACTTTAATAAACTATAGAATCTATCCTTTCCAATTCATTCTTAGTCAATGAAAAATTAACATTTATTTTGAGTTTTTAAGGTTCTAGCAGTTGGAAAAGGAAGTAAATTACAGCCCTAACCTTCAAGTTAGGTCTTGATTTTATACATGTCTAAATTTATACATTTATAAATTTTATAAATGGCCTAATTTTATACATGTACTAAAACACATGATATTCTTTATTAGCAATAAAAATAAGTGATAATTGTTTAACACCATGACTAAATTATAGTGAAATTTGAGAGATGTTCTTTAAGGGCAATTTGCATGCCTTTTACTTCTGTATCTTATTGGACAATTGTTAATCCACTCATAATTTGAGGAAAAAAAAAATACCTGGACAACTAAGGAGTGCTGCTGACTTGCCCTGATATTATTGACCCAAAACATGTACCTTCATTCCTGTACTTACAGCTGCCAAATTTCAGAGGACACGAATGAGCATCCATTGGGAAATCCTCCAAGTGCATTGGGCATTCAGCTTGAACTGTAAGCCTAAAAGTCAAAATTCCACTATTTGTTTAAGTAAATTGGTTAAGTCAAGAAAAATCACTTGTGTCTACTGTCAACAGACTTGATGAAGGTAGAGACTTAATCACAGCATTTTATTAGGCTCATTCATATGTAAATACTCTTGTTCTTTCATATTTAGGTGATCCCTCAGAAGATATTGACACATACAAATTCTGAGTATAACTGAAGATAATAATTAAAAATATACTTTAGCCATTTTAGTTTCTTAAGACATGAAGAAATTACATAGGCATTTTAAAGGGCTCTTTCCTCCTTAAGCTCACTATTAACACTTGAAATCTTAAGGACAAATAACTCTATCATTAAAAGAATACTAATGTCTCCATTATCTCATCGACAAACATATAGCAAAATTGATAAAAGAATTCAATATTAGTTCAGAGGAGCTCCCTTCAACATATGTGAATTGTGAATAAATATCATATACTGCATATATATTCACAGCTATACATATAGAACTAGATGTAAATACATATACAGATGTATTTCCTAGAAATAACTAATCAAGATTAGATTGTTGGCTAAATTATAAAACACAAACTAAGAATATTAATTACATATTTTGTCTGTATCTACATGATCGCAACAAACATTAGTCATAGAAAGTTTGATATAAAGCAAATTTCCAATTATTCCATTTCACATAAAGACAAAGTGAGTATAGCAGATACTAAATAAAATTTATAGAAGAATCTGTTGTAATGAGCAAAGCATATAATGTGACCAACAATTTATTATGGCTTAAATTCTAAGAGAATATTTAAATAGAAACTTATACAATATTTTCCAAAATACTATGTATCCTGTACCTGCATTTTGTTTAAATTCTAAAGTTTTAATCATTGCCTTAATTCACAGAAATGATCAAAGTACAAAGTCAACAAGGGCACTGCATCTAAATATATTGCAAAATTCAGAGGGAGAGGTAGGCAGAAAGACTAGCTAGCACTTCCATTGTAGGCAATGAACATCCAGTAATGAGTCCTCAAAAAATGTTTTCTTAAAGATCAGAAATAGCATAGGACTATATTGTTGTCCCTCTTAAATAACTTTCATAACTAAAATCTAGCACTTACCTTATGAAATGACAACACATCAAATAACTGGAATACATGTTTCTGTCTATATATAATGCTGATGTCAGATGTTTGTTTTAAATCTTTTATGAAACATTTTATCTTTAGATTCCACAAATTTTTACTAGATTTGTGATCTTTTTCTTACATAATACAAGTAACTTATTTCCCAAGATTAAATCATAAGCATACTTAAGATGTAATAGGTGTTAAATTTTATTTATTCTGCCGTAAAATTTCATTAAAGTTTAAAACATAAACTTAATGCTTTAGGATACTTTTTGAGTTACAAAATGACAATTTCATATGGTTCAATCCACTACATGTTTATGGTATCCAATATACTTGTAAGCCTTATTAATAAAGCTTTGTCTCTGAATTTAAAGTTATTTTTCTCTGGAGTAACTTCATAAGGAGAATTAAAATGTTAAATTAGGCTGGCTACAGAAGCTCATGCCTGTAATCCCAGCACTTTGGGAAGTGGAGGTGGGTGGATCACTTGAAGCCAGTAGTTCCAGGCCAGCCTAGCCAACATGGCAAAACACTATCTCTACTAAAAACACAAAATCTAGTCCGGTGTGGTTGTACGGGTCTGTAGTCTCAGCTACTCAGGAGACTGAGAGAGGAGAGCCACTTGAACCAGGGAGGTGGAGGTTGCAGTGAGTCGAGATCACATCACTGCACTCCAGTCTGGGCAACAGAGCAAGTCTTCATCTCAATAAATAAATATAAATACATAAATAAAGTCTTACTTTGAAATAACAAAAATTTTGATGGGATATCTGATAAGAAATTAAACTTGTATGCTGATGAAAACCAAATTCAAGTCATATTATTAAAACTGTACTTAATAAAAATAGAGTGTGAAGAATAACCAAAAACATCAATTCTGAATAATAATGGCAATTCTGAGCATTTAAAGAACCAAGATGAGAATCAAACTCATAAATACTATTTTATGTAGTTTTCTTTTTAATCAAAGCATTTGCAAACATATTATGGGTGCTTCAATAATCTGTTAGAAAACATTCAACTTTTGTTAATACTTGACAACTAGATTGACTGGTTGTTTAACACATGAATTTCTCAGTATATAAATGCATCACATCAAACCTAAAGGCATACCTCATTGTATACAGCAGAGTCCCATCATCCTGGATTCGAAGCAACTTATTTGGCATTGTCATATTATGAGCTACTGATTTTTTCCCATTGTGAAAAAAGGTATCTGGAGTCCAGATTTTGCTAGCCATTAAATTGTTGAGTCGAAGGATGTTCATCGGACCTTTAAATTTTAAACGTTCATCTTTCCATTTTTGTCGAAAGAAAACATCAATTGTATATTCCTGAAATTAAAAAAAAATTGAATTCCTTTCAAAATAGTAAATGTTTTAGACACAACGAGACACTATAAAATTCCAAAAAATATATTCTAAAAAATTTAAACAGAGAGAACTACATTGAGGGAAAATCAGTTTTAATCACAAATATCACTCCTTTGGCTTATCAATACTTTTGCCACATAAAATGGGATAAAGTACACCTGTGTACACTATTAGCTATATATTCTTGTGAAAAGAATAAACAAGTTAGCTTTGGCCTCTTTCAGTTGAACAAGGTCTCAGTCAAACTGCTTCACTGCATATGTAATTGAGAACTGCTTCTAGAAGGGATGAGCTTAGCTAGGCTCTGGTTGAATTATTTCAAGTAGCTTATTTCAAGAAAAAATAAGCAGGCAGCTTTCCCAATAGCAAATAAATAAATAAACAATATTTTTATGTTAAAATTAAAACAAAAAACCACAACACTTAAGTGCATTGTCAGATCTGTATGAATCATCTCCTGTTGCCAAAGAAACTGTAAATTATCATATTTATTTTTTAATCCTAAAAAATGGTGAGAACATGATATTGTTAGCAAGACTGTGTCTGAATTTCAATAAAGTTTATTTATGAAATTAGTTGTAATACAAGCACTTTACATGTTTTTAGAGTATTTAAAGTATGTATGAATATTTTGCAGATAAACTCTTTCATGTTAAAATGTACTTTAAAATATTGTTACAGACCTGCTAGTGATAATTTCCTTTATTATTTTTCTCCAATATCTTAATTTAGGTAAACCTCTTTTTTTTTCTCTCTCTCTCTTTACCTCTGTCTCTACCTTTCCCTATCTATCTTTCTTAAGACAACATATACATTTTAGATGAGCTATACAATGCACAATTATGATTAATATTTACAATCTGTTGGATGTTAATTTTTTTGTCAATGTATGTTGTTATAAACATACTACTAATAATTAAAATGTTCAATTACACACCTGAGATTGGAAATTCAGAAACTGTCCTTTGAGCACAAAAACAGAGTCATTACTTGTTTGAAAATAAACAATGTAGCAATAGCAATTTTACTAAAGTAATGTTTGCAAAAAAGAACAGATTTAAAAGGCCATATACTTATGACTTAGAAAATCATTTATATAAATCTGAATTAAGTACATGAATCCTAGTGGTCCCTCAAAAATTGAAAAAGTGATGACACTAACAAGTGAAAATTATAGGTAATGGCATGTAAGTAGGATATGAACAGAGGTTCTGGGCTGTTAATTCTTAAGGAAATATTCCATAACCTTATCACTCTTACTATCATCTAGTTATCTCTATTAATGTTTAACTTTATCTAAATGGAACTCTAAAATTTAAAGATAATGAATAAAGAAATGAGTCTTTGCACTGTAAGTTTTATGCAAGTATTTCTTTTTTATCTGGGATTCCTCAAATACTAACCTAACATAAATATATATGACACTTACTTTTCCAGGCAAAATTAATACATTTTTGAACTTTTTATAAAACTTCAAATTCTATATTTTATTTCTGTAAAACGAGGGTATGTTTTATCTGTTTCAGAAACTATTGATATGACAGTCATTTTCTGGAGGTCGACTACTTAGGAGATACTTTAAGTTTACAAACAAAGTTGCAGGTGATTTTTTTTTTTTTTACATTTTAATGATATATTTTACTTATTTATTTTATTTTTTAAATAACTTCAACTTTTATTTTAGAAATGGGGGCATACATGCAGGTTTGTTACGTGAGTATATTGTGTGATGCTGAAGTTTGGGATACTATCATTCAGAGAGTGAGCATATTACCCAATCGTTAGTTTTTCAACCCTTGTCCTGCTCCTTCCCTCCACCCTGTAACAGTCCCTAGTGTCTATTGCTGTCATCTTTATGTCTATGAATACCTAATAGCTCCTACTTATAAGTGAGAAGATGCCTTATTTGGTTTTCTGTTACAGCATTAATTTCCTTAGGATTATAGCTTCTAGCAGCGTCTATGTTGCTGCAAAGGGCATGATTTTGTTCTCTTTTAAGCTTCCTACCATCCAATAGTGCATGTGAACCAAATTTTCTTTATCCAATTTGTCATTGACATACATCTAAATTAATTCCATGTTTTTGCTATCATGAATAGTGCTGCAATGAACATATGCATTCATGTGTCTTTTTGGTAAAATGATTCATTTTCTTTTAAGATATATAACCAGTAATGGGATGGCTGGGTCTCATGGTAGGTCTGCTTTAAGTTATTTGAGAAATCTCCAGACTGCTTTCCATAGTAGCTGAACTAATTTACATTCTCAGAAAAGGTGTCTGTAGGTGTTCACTTTAGTCTGCATCTAGTTTTATTATTTTACTAACTGTTTAATAATGGTCATTCTGACTGATATAAGGTAATATATCATTGTGGTTTTGATTTTCATATCTCTGATTATTGATGATATGAAGCATTTTTTCATCTATTTGTTGCCTGCTTGTATGTCTTCTTTCCAGCAGTGTCTGTTCATGTCTTTTGCCCATTTTTAAATGAGGTTGTTTGGTTTACTTGTAGAATTATTTAAATTTCTTAAAAACTGTTTCCAGAATTGTTATTTATCTGAGAGCTCACAGTGTCCCAGGTGTGCTCTGCCAGTCTATTTAACATAGTTTGAGTCTTTTTCTCCCACTGTCATCATGTAAATTCATGTTATAATCTACAGTTCTACACAGTTTTAACAGTCCCCACTCCTCGCCATTCCTCAAATAAAGCAAGATCTCCACCTGACTCAGTCTCTTGAACACATGCAAAAAGCATAGCCAGCTTTCTTTGTATTTCTATAGAGCTCTTAATTCTTTCAAGATCATCACTGGAATTATACATTTGCTTTTCTGCCTCCTGAATAGTCTATACATCTTCAAGAAAGGGACCATGGTTTTCATTTGTGTTTTATTTTTTTCAGTCATAAAAAAGACTGTAAAGAATATTAAAAATACCTTGTAACCATCACCTAACAGAAATGTCATCACAAATATTTTTGAAGCCCTTTCTCTTCTGTTTATTCCTTCTCAATCACAGCCCCCTAGTCCCTGAAGAAATAAGTATGTCGAATTTAGTGTACAGCCTTCCCACACATGTACTTTCAAATTGACTACGTAAATATACAATGTGTCACATTTTAAACATTCATATACATGTAAATATACGTTGTATATTTTTCTGACATTTGCATCTTTTAGCTACTTTGCTGAGATTTACGCATGGCAATATATTTAGCCCTTTGATTCATTTTCACTACTTTATAGCATTATATTGGAAGATCACTTCACAATAAAGTCATCATTTTTTCTAATCCTTATTTTTTCTTATTAAAAATTTGTCACTGTCACAAGCAATATTGCTACAAATATTCTTGTTCAACACTTGTAATACAAAGTTATAAGATGAGTTACCGTAGATCAGAGGTCAGCAAATTTTTTCCATTAAGGGTTAGTCAATAAACATTTTAGAATTTGTGGGCCATATGGTTAGTATCACAACTATTCAACTCCACCACTGCAATGTGGAAGCAACCATAGATTGCATAAATGAATAAGCATGGCTATGTTCCAGTAAAACTCTGTTTACAAAAATAGGCAGCTGACAGCTTTTTTCCCATGGGCTGTAGTATGCTGACACTGTCTTAGACTAAATTTATAAGTAAGATTACTGGAATTTAGTATATGTGCATCTTCAAAATAAGAAGATATTTTTAAATTTACACACTTCTAAGAAGTGTGTAAATTTCTATTCTCAATGGAAGGGTATAAATGTTCTTGTTTATGTACTACTTGGTAGAGACAGAATATTTCATTTTAGACATTATTAGTGTGAAACAGGTAATGGTGCAACCATGTGGATTCCTCTGTTAAGTAGTAAAAACTAATATATGTTCATGTTTATTAAAAATTATAGTTTTCTCCTTTATAAATTGTCTGATGACTTCATCTACTCAATTTCCCTTTAGGTTGTCTGTCTTTTTCTTACTAAGTTATGATGATTCTTTATGTAGTCTCCATACTAACACTTTGTTAACTAATATACAACTCAACAAGAGTCAAACTAAAGCTATTTAAAATATCATAAACATATTCCCTTATTATCTTCAATGGATATAAAAAAAAAAAAAACCTCTGCTTTTTACGTGAAGACCTTAAATCTACCCTGCATTATTATATATGATATGAGATCAAGGTCCAACATTTTTTTCTAATAATAGAAAACCAGCTTTATCAGCACCATTTATTGACTGGTCCATTTTTTTCCCCACACATATGCAATGATATTTCTATAATATATCCAGTATCCATATGGGTATGGGTTTGTTTCTGATTTCTATTTTGTTTTTATTGTTGGCCTATTCAATTTCAAAGTCATTATTATAATAGTTACATCATAAGGTTTAATTCATAGTGTTCTCTTTATTGTCCAGTTGAAAATACTTTATAATTTCTATCATGGCTTTCCTTCCTCTTTACATAGAAAACATTTTTAACTGTGTTTTTGTATTTCTAAATGTATTGGTCCCTTTTTTATATTTAATCATTAATGTTTGATTTTACTACAGTTGTAATAAGATATTAGGCACTATAGAACAATTTTTTGCAATTCATAAAAAATTTAAGAGTTTTTTTGTTGTTGTTGAACATGACCATCTCCATCCTTTCATAATAATTCAGTCCATTTATATCTATTGTGGTTACTAATATTGAACATGTTCCCAAGGCTATATTGTTTTTACAAGTGAATTAAAATTATAAGAATAGAAGAGATAACATATTAGATTGTATGATCAACTGATAAAAATAAATAAAAGAAAAACTCTAGAAAATTAAAAGGAACCATAAAAGAACACACATGAAAGCATACACGAAGTAGAAGGAAGAAAATGTATCAAACCAAAAGAAAATGTAAGAAGTATATAGAATTCATAAATAACAAACGTTACTGAAAGGTCATAAAGACTTAGAAAGAGAGAGC